TTCTCATCCACTTTTGTCATCCAGGAGCCTTTCTGATCCGCCCACCTTGTGATGGCTGGGCTGCAGTGTTTCTCCTGCTCTGTCTCAACCCTCAGTGATATTTCACAGGCAGAGAAATGACTTGAGTAGAACTTTATTTGCCTTGTGGCTAGAGGCTGCTTATTGGTCTGGTTTTTGCTCTTCAGCTGCTTGTATTTCACACTACTCCAGCGTGACTTTCTAGTTTTCAGGCCTATTTATTTTTGCTTAAGCCTTCAAGGGATATATGGGAATGTCTTAAACCAGCTTTGCTTCTGAAGAAATCACAATGTGGAACTGAATCTTGGAGCACAGAGTGTGTCCACCTACGGTGTTGTTTTTTTTGTCCCAGCCTGAGATGTTTATGATATCAAGATTTTCTCTGTTTTTTGGTGAAGGGGTCTCAAAACCTGGCCCTGCTAAAGTGCAATTTGGGCAGTAGGTGCCGTTTTAAACCAAATGTCATCAACCTAACAGCCTGCCTTTTGAGAGGCTCTCATTTGTCAAGGTTTGCTTGGTTTTCCGGTAACGGGAGTTTTTTATTGGTAGCAGAGATGAAGTTGTGTTGTAATTTGTTTATTTCATCTGATGCTTGGTCAGGTCTCTAAAGCCTTAATCTCAGTTATGGTTTACTTCTGGTAATGTAAATTGTGTTAACTTTTTCATGAGTATTTACCCCTTTGCATTTTTTTTAGAAGGAACTTCTCCACTTACCTTCTCTACTGCAGTTGTTAGATATTCAGAACTAGTATTCAGATTACCAGAAATCAAGTTGAATAAAGCCATTCCCTATTAAACAAATAAAAGTATGAAATAGTCTCTTCATACTCTCCCCATGTAAGCTTTCATAATAAGCCAACCCTGTCCAACCCTGTCTTCAGCCTTGAGTCATAACTTCAGAGATGTTGGCATTTGGAGTGAGGTTTGCAGTGATCTGGAGTCCAATGCAAGTTTTTTATCTACAGTCATACTTGAATAGGTGATGAATCAGCAGTATTTTGTCTCTGAACCAAGAAACATAATTTATTGCTGAAAGACCATTTTTTGTCTGTCTAACAATAGGATGATTTTCTGAATATTTTGGCAGAGCAATTTTTGATTAAAAATGCTTTTGCCAGTGATATGGTAGTTGAATTATGATCTGTGGGCATCAGAGATTAAATACTTGTTGCAAGGAGCTCTCTGGAACTGAGCCTATGGAAAGGATGCATTATGCTGCAAATTATTAAATATTGATTTCTGTAATAGTCTGCATGCATCAATGAATTTAGCAATATGCTAGTAAATAATATGAAAAAGATTAATATCTCAAGAGAAAAAGTAATTACAAATACGCTTAAATAATGATTTGGGAGCGAGTTAGATTTGTGGATACCAAAGAGGACTCAGCTTTGGCCTCTTTGTTGAGTATCACTCAAAACCACTTAGAAGCTGTTGTTACCTAGGACTTTTGCAGCTGAAGTTCCCAAAGTCTCCTGAGTTCCATGAGCTGCGTTGGATATGGGATGTTTGGCTTTGGAGATCACAGCCGCATGTCAGAGGAAGCGAGGCTTGTTCTTTACAGAGTTTGCATTCTTCTGCATCACCCTCAGGTTTCCTGGCAGCCTGCTCTGAGACAGCTCAGTTAAGCACAGTTTAGCCTCTATAGCAAAGCTGTTGCTTGCAAGTAATTTGCACCAGTGATGGTTTCTTTACAATGGTTTAGAGAAGTTGTTACTGCAAAGTGTTTGCTCTCAGCATTCATTATGGAATTACTTCTCCACAGAGAGTAGCAATTTGAATTTGTCATTACTTTTTCTCTCAGTGTAAGTATTGTAGAGCAATAACTTCTTCCAGGAGAATGAAGGAAATGGATTTCATTGTCTTAATTTTGTGTGGAGGGACAGACAATTTTCATACGTTATCCCTAAGCGTCATTTAGATATCCACGTGAGGCACGTTTTTGACTTGCTGCTTCATGTTGTTCATGAGACAAAATTGATGCTCTTCTGCAGATGTTAGTCTTTAAATTTCATTAGGAGGCATGACAACATCTGGGTCCTTAGGTCAATGAAAATGAGCAGTCAGCTTTAGTTCCAGCTTGTGAATTTGTCTTGCAAATGCAAGAGAGGTTTATGTAGCAGCAGAAGTGGAACTGCTCATCACACGTAAAAGCATCTCTTTCTGAACTATTGTTGGTACTAAATGAATAAGAAAAGGTACTGTATTTGGGGAAAATGCAGAGGTACAATTTGGGCTTTGGTTTCCTCAATTGCAAATGCAGCTGAAATACCAGCTGTGGCGTGACTGTGATGGGTGACGTAATAAAATATACACCATTGACCTCAAAGTCCCAAATGCGTAGTTTAATTAAAGAACAATAAATGCTCGTGAAAAGCTTGAGTAAAGGTTGAGGCTGGGGGAAAGAAGCTGGCTGATGTAGATAGCTGTTCATTTGCTAAGTGCGGGTATGTCTGAGTGAAAGCCTGTCACCCCTGGGTCATGTGCAGGCTGTCCTTGTGACCAGATTCATGGCATGCAGACACACAATCCGTTGTCCCACCCCTGCCTCGAACGTTTATTTGTTTTTATGGTTTTTGCTAAGGTATCTCAAGGATATTTGTAGTACATTAGTTTTTATTGCGCTCTGCTTTATCCTCCGTGCTGCAATAACATCAGAGTCTTGCAAGGCCCATATAAAGGATGGCAGAGGATATTGGCATCCAGGAACAGTGTCTTCAGTCCCTCGGGGCAGAAACTCAAATGTTGGCTTTTGCAGGCTGCCTAATGCTGTCATGGCACATTCCAGCTAGTTTGAAAACTGTCCTCCTAGGATGAGCGGTGTAGTCATCCCATTACTGATTTATGGCTGAAACAATCTAGCATGCAGTTGCTGGCCTGGTATTTCATAGGGTGGTAATACCATAGTGAAGGTGAGGATGCCATAAGTAGGTGAGTCAGATGAATGCTTGCAAATGAGCTGTTCAAGTTTTGCATGACTAATGGTGCAGGGTTTGTTGTTTTTTTGTTGGTTTGGTTTTTTTTTTTTTTTTTAAAAGTCCAACCCCCCCCCCCCAAAATGCAAAAGATCCTGAAAGGCTTGAGATGAAACTGCTCAGAAAGCTTTGATTGTTGTTAAGGTCCATTAACTCCAACAGATCATTTGCAGGTTTGGTGAAGTTTCAGAACCATATTCTTTCAGTTGTGATGTGAAAGCAAGTGGCATATGGCTTTTTAACATTCAGGACCTTCTCTAGTGAGACTAAAACTAAAGATGACTATGTTTTTACTAAGTTGGTTTTTTTTTTTTTGAATGCTTAAAATGAGAAGCTTCCCATTCCAACCTTCATCCCTCTTTAGCTGTCACAAGACATGTTCATACTGCAATCACACGCAGCTCATGACCACATTACAAAGCTACTTTAAAATCAAGTAACTTAGCTGTTGCCTGAATATTTAATCAACTTTTTGGCTGGGTTTTATTGCCAGCATCAGATCCCGTAATGTAAGCCATTTGTGCTGCAGATATACCTATGAAAAAAAAGGAGAAAAGAAAAAAGGAGACAGAAACCCATTCTTCCACCTTTCGTATACCAGCTGAGCTTGAAACTAGCAAAGTCATTAAGCGTAATGCCAAGTGTCAGTTGTGCGAACAAATGTGTAATAATTGTATTTTGGATCCAGCAATGTCTTACAGCAAACTGCTCATAATTTCCAGCAGTTACTCCTGCAAAGTGCATTCCTTTCTTTGATTTCTTTATCTTCAAGTTATATCTACAGAATAAAATTGCAAAGCCAACTCATGCTTTGCAGTTACTTAAATTATATGTAGTAACTAAATGCAACAAAGCTAGCGGAAGATAGTTGTCTATATCAGGTGGGTTTAACTGGTACTGATCTGTTCTTTATCATTCTCTTTGAGACCGTATATTCTTTGTGTGTCATCTTAAAAAGTTGCCTTTGGCATCAGATTGGTGTTAAAATTGTTCATTTCAAATATATGGCCAGTATTGAAATTGTTAAAGCTGATAAGCTCTGATTTATACTGAATTCATTCATTATCATTCTTTCCAAGAACTTTTGTTTTACTGGTATACAAATATTTAGTATTGGAATGTCTCTTTCTCCATATATGTGTGTGCATACATGTGTATTATGTATATATTTATGAAAAAATTACAATTCATGTAGCTACAACATAACCTCTCTCCTTCAAGTGCTCTCAGGTAAAGGGAGGATTTGTCATGCAGCAGATCAGACAATTTATAAAAATACATAACATTTTTAGAGTGAGTTCTTCCATGCTATTTCAGAGCATCAGAGATCATCTCAGTTTGAGTGATCTGAATAAGGGATGAAGGTTTTGGGGGAGGAGGCAGAGAGGAATGGAGATACTGGAGTTCTGAGTTTTCTCCAGGTGCGGGAGCAGCATGGGAAGGAGATACATTGGACTAGTGGAGGTACCTGTATATTGCAGCTGGGGTCATTACTACTGAATATGAGGAGACCCTGTCAAAGACCAACTGTGTAAGTTTTAGCTAAGAGAAGGCTGTACATGGCCTGGAAGATAAGGTGGTGTTTAGACCTTACAGCCTCGATAAATGCAAGTGAATGGGTAGATGAAAAGAATACTCTTGGAGAAACATAGCTTATTTTTGGTAGTCAAGAAGCGCAGAAGATTTGAAGATGGTCGAGCATCTAGGCCTTAATATATCAGAATTACGGCTCTTTGATCCCTCAAAACAATATGGAAACTCACATTTATGTATGTAAAAGCTGATGGTGTTTGTACATTTGGGGTTAGGAATAAATCAGTGATACTGGGAAAAGTGTTTCACATCATCTTTCTGCAGCTGGTTTTACAGTGTTCTTGTAAAGTAACCTGGTGGTGTCCTGTGTGCTACTGACACTCTTTTTGGAATTTAGACCAAACACACATTTCATTTAGTTCACAAGTGACCAATGTTACCTGATTTTCTTTCCTTTCTCTCCTTTTCCTCTAGCTGTTACAGCTTCTGGAGTCTGAAACTATGCAACTAGAAGCCTTTCTGGAGTGGAAGCAACTGGAACCAGTTTATTGGCAGTGGATGGTAATGAATCAAACTAATTTCAAAGGGTGCAACTTTCTTGACTCTTACAAAGAGCTGACCACTTCCAAAGGCCCCTTCCCACAAAAATGAATGCTGCAAACCGACTGTTCAACAGCACTTCGGAATAAGGGAAAAATGCCTTTGGTAAAGTAAAGAGTGTTTTCTTAGTTCTCCTTTATCCCGCTGTTTTCTTGAGTAAGACTCACCCAGCTAAGCTGAGGAATTGCAGGGCAGAGTGGCAGAATTTCATACAGTTAACACAAATGAAAATGTCTGATCTACATCTCTTTAATGTTTTTTTAAACGTAGCAATCATACATTTTGTTAAAATTAAACGGCTTTTCAGAAGAGGGCCTCTAAGCTTTATTGCAGACTTGAGAACAACTAAATTTGCAAGCAGCTGATATTGAAAACAACTTCATTTTTCCCAGCCAAATAATGTGTTGAAATTGCCGATTTCCCCTTGAACTGTGTTGAATGATCATAAGAAAATCAATAAGCCTTTCTCTGTGCATCTTATGATTTCTCAAGTGAGCGTAAACGGTACTATCCATCTCGCTTCTCTCTACAACTTTGGCCTATTCACAGTTGCTGAAAATAATGCTTTAGAGTACCGCATTAGCTATATGAGTTTACAAAATTTTGAGAATCAGTGAGCTGACTGTTAATGGCCCACATGCCTTGTACTATACTAAAAGCAAGGCACGGGAGTGTAAAATTACTTCACCTGTCTTGAAGAGTACTTCTAGTGCAGAGCCATTCAAATTGCCATTAGTTGTATAATGGTTTTTGCTTTACATGTCTACCATCTTAGGGTTATTTGGAAAGCATCAACACTAGCATAAGCCTGGCTCCAAACAGGCAAAAGATAACTGCAAGTGTCATGGCATTTCAGTGTATCCACCAAAACATTTGCTTCTGATATGTTGAACAGTGTGGGGAGTATTGTGAGTGTTAGTGTGTGTGTGCTTCCTGGAGATAAGTCCTAAATAAGTCCTTGCAAAAAAACCCGACCAGTACATCTTTTTAAATTGTTCAATAGGCTGGATGGTGAATTTGCCTTTTTCTTTTGTTTTGCTGGTGATTGTTGTTGTTCCCAGGTACAGATAACAGTAGTTTTCTCTTCCCACCTAACCTGTGTTTTGCATTCCTGATCTGATGGATGGGATGATTCTTACATAGCTACTGCCAGGTCTTCCTGATGGTTGTGGGCAAGAGCATGACAGACCACGACATAACTAAAGGAACTGGAGTGACTGGAGTAATATTACTTTAAAAGTCTGTCATTTAATGAATTTCAAATTAAAAAAAACCCTAACAAAACCAAAAAGCAAAACAACAAAAAACAACCAAGCAAACAAACACCACCCCCACCCCACCCCACCCCAACCAGAAAAGCTTTGTTTTATTTCCATGCAGTTAGTTAGCCTGTCAGTGCCCAGAACATGTCTGTGTTGTCATGAGCTGGGCCTTTGGTCAGCGTGAGCTGCTGGCCTCAGTGCTGCTTTGCGCCAATTTGCAATGCTGATGCTCGCTCAGAAAGGAGGTTTTGTAGGGTGTCTTTTGCCATTCTTAGCTATCTTATAATGTTTTTTCTTGTATGAGCCTAAAAATATCTTGCTGTGAATTAAGCCAGAGTTTTTAACCTACCTGCAGAGAAGAGAGAGAAAGGGGGGCGGAATTCCTATCCTCTTTATAGCAATCATTTATATAAATGAAGGCTGTTAGCATGTCACTGCTTTCCCAGTCCCCATTGCTAGGCTAAACAAAATTGGTTTTCTTAATGGCTCCTTGTAGGCCATTCCTTCAAATTTCTGATGGTTGTTGCTGTTCTCATATGGGACTTTCCTTCCCATTTGTCTGTATTTAACTTCAGGTACCTCACCCGTACATCAGTGTTACAGTCAGTGCTCTTCTATCGCGGAGACTTGTGTTTGTACTTTCTGAAATGGTACTTGACTTTAACAGTATGACATTGGTGACTTCTGTTTTTCTGACATCTCCTCCAGCAGTGTTGCTGCTGAGCCAGTAATTACGCATTTGGTTTTTCCTTGCTCATGTGTAGACCATGCTGCTCAACTGCTGAATTTCCTCTCACTGTGTTCATATTACTTCTCAAATTTCTAAAGATAATTTTGAATGCAAATTATGGCCTTAAAAAAGATTATGACCTCTCCTATTTAATGTCTTCTCGATAACAATATGGAAATATGTATTTAATACTCTTTGAGTGAGGAGGCCTGGGTCCTTTAGTTATGCTCTGCTACCCTGACTTGAAAACTCCGTGTTTCTACATAATCTGGGCACCACGGTGTATAGGTACATGCATTCCAGGACTCTGAAGTTATTTGCTTTTTTTTTTTTTGAGTATTTCATATAACGGGTGCTATCTCTGAAAGCAGTTGCAGAATTAATTACAGAACCAGCTAGGTGGTCATGGTCAAGCAGAGCTGACAGACCTCCTGACCAGCCTGGAGCAGGGATCTCTTGGAGTTCTTCAACTTGTAGAGTTTTACATAGGCACAAGCAATCCCGTGGGTGTTAACAACTTACTGTGCCACATAGCAAATGGGGCTCTCCTGAACAGCATAAGCACATATAACCCCAGTTAGCTCAGTTGGTTAGAGTGTGGTGCTAATAATGCCAAGGTCACGGGTTCAATCCCTGCTCACTGCGGGGGGGGTTGGGCTAGATGACCTCTCCAAGGTCCCTTCCAACCCAAAGCATTCTATGATATCTCCATCCTGGTCATCACTTTGTTACAAAAAGTCATAGAAGTGCATCCAGCCTCAGAGTTGGAGGGGAAGGGGCATATCTAGAGCTTCTGCAGTACTGGTGATCTCTGTCCCATGAGTGTTACTTTATGCTTTAGTGCAGTGGAGAGTAGTTCACAGTATGCAGTGCTTTCTAAAATAAGCTAGGTTAGCAACATAAGTTTTCTGTTAACTTAAGAATACGTTATAGTGAACTGAGGAGGTTATCTCTTAAAATAACTCTGAAATTGTGGAGCAACCATATACTGAGATGGCAGCCGTGAATTCCTAGCTACGAATTACCAGGAAGATGTGGAGGGGCAGGCTAGGCCATTTTAGCTCCTGCTGACAAGTAACTTTTATTGTTTTTCCTTTAGGAAACTGTGTTAGATAATATGGCTGAAGAGGGAAATATGTGCAAGTCCCAGGACGCTTACGTGGAGAAAAGTGGGCTGCGAAAGGCAACCTTCTGCTGCCCCTGGGCTGACAGTCTGACTGGGCAAATTGACAGATTATCTGCGGATTTAATGACTCTCCGTGACCAGCTGCATGAGCTTGTAACTCACCAAAAGGCTGCATGGTGTGAGAAGGTGAGGCTTTGGGTGGTGTTCTTGATCATTAGCAACTTTTAAGATCCTGTATTTTTCAGCTGTCTTGCCACGGCCCATGCTAAGCAGCCTCCCTGTTGCTGCTCTGCATCAACCTTGTTGCAATCTTGATGTCAGATCTATAGTTACTTGTCTGTTTATGCCCGCAGCATGCAAGGTGCTCTTTCAAACACAAAGTAGGCATCTGTCCCAGAGAGGCAGCACACTGAAACAAAAGAAGTGTTCTTTTGGAAGGGAAGGCATCAAAGATAAGGGGTTGTGGAGGAGAGAAGAGAAGAGGAGGAAATCATGGCAGCCCCCAGAGAGGGTAGAGGCAGCAGGTTGAAAGCATCAGTAATGGTTATAGTGAGAAAAATAAAGATAGGTATTCTCAGGGAAGGGAGGGTGGAAGAGGCCAGAGCTTGTCATCTTTCACTGAGTTAGTCTTTGAAATGTCTGATGGGGGAACGAATAAGAAGGATTTGAAACCTGTGAAGTGAGAGAAGGGACTAAGCACAAGATTTGGTGGAGGAACAGACTGGCTGTGGGAGGCTGGCTGTGGAGGAAAGCAGGTGATATGAAGGAAGTGTACATGGTATTCGTTGACATAGGGATGGGGAGACACTGGGAAGCACCCAGAGGAGGCGGTGGGGCATAAATAAAGGAGCTCTTAATGTAAATGTAGAAGGTGAATCTTGAGTATTAACATGCTGGCACAAGGAGAAGATATGATGAAGATGCAGGCATAAAAACTAGTAATGTTTTCCAGGCATCAAGAGGAAAGAAGGATACCAGAGAATCTATGAAACCCATGGAAGGAGAAAAAGTGAAAGAAACAGTAGGGGCAGATAGAACAGTAACAAAAACGCTGTATCACTATTCTGTGTCTGTGTCAACTCAGGAGAGGGGTTTTTTGCTTTTTTTTTTGTTTGTTTTGGTTTGCTTTTTTTAGATTGAAGTGTTGGTAGACAGGGTTATAGATCATCTGACAAAATGAAAAGTGGCAGGTTGTTAGATCAAGAGGTATTTGGCCAAGAGTTCAAAAGGGTCTGGCATGGAAAAACTGTGTGGAGAGCTGACCACTCTCTCCTCAACTGTAAGGATAAGGAACTAGTTAGGATCAGTTGGATAGACACAGGCACAAGGAGCTGCTGCTTCACATAGAGTATGGAACTTCTTCCCACAGGGCACTGTGGATATAAGCAGTGTACATGGATTTGAAATCTGTTGGACACATTCTTGGAAGAAGAAATCCATCAAAGACTATTAAATATACAGATATGAATTACAGGCTTAGGAAGTTGTGGGAGTACAAATTGTTGCAGGCTGGGGGAATATTCTGAGGAAGTATCTCCATATATTTGCCTTTGTCTTCTAGTCTTCTATAGGCACTTGCTGTCAATCAGTCAGTGATGGGGTACTGCACCAGGCAGGTCTCTAGCGTCATCAGATTTGGTTGATTTTATGGCAAAACAGACATGACGTTGCAGGACAACTCAGACCTTGAATTCTAAAAATAAAATTTCCAATGCATAATTTCTAAAGCAAGATATATGTAAGAGGAGTCAGAGCATAACAATATATATGCTGTTAAGTATCATAGAAGCATAGAATCGTTTAGGTTGGAAAAGGCCTTTAAGATCATTGAGTCCAATTGCTAACCTAGCACTGCCAGGTCCACCACTAAACCATGTCCCTAAGCGCTACATCTACGCGTCTTTTAAACACTTCCAGGGATGGTGACTCAACCACTTCCCTGGGCAGCCTGTTCCAGTGCTTGATAACCCTTTTGGTGAAGAAATATTTCCTAATATCCAATATAAACCTCCCCTGGCACCACTTAAGGCCATTTCCTCTTGTCCTGTCACTTGTTACTTGGGAAAAGACAGACACCCACCTTGCTTACAGCCTCTTTTCATATAGTTGTGAAGAGCAATAAGGTCTCCCCTCAGCCTCCTTTTCTCCAGGCTAAACAACTCCAGTTCCCTCAGCTGCTCCTCATAAGACCTGTGCTCCAGACCTTTCACCAGCTTCGTTGCCCTTCTCTGGACACGCTCCAGCACCTCAATGTCCTTCTTGTAGTGAGGGGCCCAAAACTGGACACAGTAGTTGAGGTGCGGCCTCACCAGTGCCGAGTACAGGGGGACAATCACCTCCCTGCTCCTGCTGGCCACACTATTCCCGATACAAGCCAGGATGCTGTTGGCCTTCTTGGCCACCTGGGCACACTGCTGGCTCACATTTAGCTGGCTGTCAACCAACATCCCCAGGTCCTTTATGGCCAGGCAGCTTTCCAGCCACTCTTCCCCAAGCCTGTAGCGTTGCATGGGGTTGTTGTGACCGAAGTGCAGGACCTGGCACTTGGCCTTGTTGAACCTCATACAGTGGGCCTCTGCCCATTGACCCAGCCTGTCCAGATCCCTCTGTAGAGCCTTCGTACCCTCGAGCAGATCAACACTCCTGCCCAAGTTGGTGTCTTCTGCAAACCCACCGAGGGTGCACTTGATCCCCTTGTCCAGATCGTTGATAAAGGTATTAAACAGAACTGGCCCCAATACTGAGCCCTCGGGAGCACCACTTGTGACCGGCCGCTGACTGGATTTAACTCCGTTCACCACAACCCTTCGGGCCCAGCCATCCAGCCAGTTTTTTACCCAGCGAAGAGTATGCCCATCCAAGCCATGAACAGCCAGTTTCTCCAGGAGAATGCTGTGGGAAATGGTGTCAAAGGCTTTACTAAAGTCTAGGTGGATGACATCCACAGCCATGGATGTGGCTTCCCTCATCCACTAGGCAGGTCACCTTGTCATAGAAGGAGATCAGGTTAGTCAAGAAGGACCTGCCTTTCATAAAGTCATCCTGACTGGGTCTGATCACCTGGTTTTCCTGCACATGATGGCACTCAAAATGATCTGCTCCATAACCTTCCCTGGCACCGAGGTCAGGCTGACAGGCCTGTAGTTTCCCGGATCCTCCTTCTGGCCCTTCTTGTAGATGGGCGTCATAGTTGCTAACCTCCAGTCAACTGTAATCTCCCTGGTTAGCTAGGACTGCTGATAAATGATGGAAAGTGGCTTGGTGAGCACTTCCACCAGCTCCCTCAGTACTCCTGGGTGGATCCCATCCAGCCCCATAGACTTGTGTGTGTGTCGAAGTGGTGTAGCAGGTCACTAACCATTTCCCCTTGGATTATGGGGGCTTCATTCTGCTCCATGTCCCTGTCTTCCAGCTCAGGGGGCTGGGTATCCGGAGAACAACTGGTCTTACTATTAAAGACTGAGGCAAAGGCGGCATTAAGTACCTCCAGCCTTTTCCTTATCCTTGGTCACTATGTTTCCCCCTGCATCCAATAACAGATGGAGATTTCCCTTAGCCCTACTTTTGTTGCTAATTTATTTTATAGAAACATTTTTTATTGTCTTTTATGGCAGTGGCCAGATTAAGTTCTAGTTAGGCTTTGGCCCTTCTAGTTTTCTTCCTGCATAACCTCACGACATCCTTGTAGTCCTCCTGAGTGGCCTGCTCCTTCTGCCAAAGGTCATAAACTCTCCTTTTTTCCTGTTTTTTATGTTAAATATTATATAGTAATCACACTGAAATTTTTTTATGCTTGAATTTGGAAATGAAGTCCAAAAAGATTAACCGATTAATTCTTCTGTACTTTGAAACATTCAAATTGGATTAGAATGATGGTTGGTCAAGTTCCAGTGTTTTTGAGATTCACTGAATGTCATATGAGTTTATGACTGTCGGAAGCAAATGGAGTGTATCTTACTGTGTTGTTAAAAGGATGGTTTATCACAAGTGTCTCCTCTTCTACATGCCCCGGAACAGAATTGTTTTATAATGCTACACGACAGCATTTTTTGGAATGCTGGGGGTCAGATGACTCTCCATCAATCTTCTATAGATCAACCCTTCCTTTGAATAGTGTTGCTGCTTATGTGATGCTTTCTGCCTGTAGTTTGTCTTTTTTCCCCCCCAGTCAGGATGCTTACGGAATGCAGGCTCCTCTATCAATTGTATGTTTTTACCCCCTTCAGTCTTTTCCCTGGAGAAGTAAGCTTATCAAATCTTTCCTTCTATATTATTTTTTTTAGTCAAACAAAGAGAAGATATAGCAGTAGCTAAAGTGGTCATTATCTCTAACTTTGTATCGTGCAATACTGAGACATCTGGAAATTATCTTGGCTCTCACAAGCATGCCTGGCTGAGGGACAGTACAGTTTATTATAGGTCTTGTGCACACTACCTTGTACTTCATGAAAAACGTGATAATCCACAGAGTAATTACGTCTGTTGTCACCAGTAGGCCTGATGTCTGTGCCAGGCAACTGAGTAGAAACTGTTCTGAAGAAAAGAATTGAGGGCACATGATGAAATGTGATGTACTGGGGAAGAGACAGCACAGTTTTTGCAGAGAGGAATCATGAATCTAAAATCTGTTGGAGCTCTTTGAAGGGACCAGTGAGCGTGTGGGCAAGAGACGTTGGATTGACGTTGTTTAATTGCATTTGCAAATGGCATTTGATAAAGTCCCTGAGAAGATTCTCAACAAAAATAAACTGCCCACGTGGCTGTCTTTCCTCTTACCCTTGAGCGAACAGCAGAGCAGGAAGCGGAGAGGAGGCGGCCGTGATCAGTTTGCAGAGCCAGTCACCAGTGCACGGGCCCGTGCTGCTCCGCGTGTGTATAGCTGCTCTGGGAAAGGAGGTGGATAGCAAGGTGCCCAGGTTGAGATGAGACTAATTCCCTGTGAGCATATGTGAAGGACAGCAGCAAAGGATTGCTGAGGGCCCTTGTACTGAGCAGTGATGTGGTAAAATGTCAGATAAAATTGGATGGAGATTAATCTAACAAAATGCATCCGAAGGGAGAATCATAATTTTACATGTGTTTTTTCTGTCACGTGAATGAGCTCTTAGGATTATAATGATAGTTCTGTGGCAACGTCAGTGGTCAAAAATAGGAAACTGAATCCTAAGAATTATTAGGAAAGCAGA